GATTCATAGCTCTTACACAGTSGGATCTACTGTATATTTATTTATTTTGTTTGTTGTCTCTCCTTTGTATCCACAAGAACATAAATGAAGACAGAGACTTTATCTGTTTCATTCAGCATTGCATAACCAGCTCCAGAAAAATGCTTTACATAATGTAGGTGCTTAATAGAWAATTGAATGAACCAACAAACTGCAGGTAGATTTCTGTTTTGTAGCTTTGATAACCTGATGATAAGTACATCTGAGAAATGGGATACATCAGTAACTTATTCTTCTTGGCTCCGTAGAGAATGTAAAACAGTGCTGTGGGCCATAAACTTAAACTTAAAATGGATTGCTACTCCTGGTGCTTTCAGAACATTTTTAAACCCCCATTTGCAGTGAAAATTCAATGTGGAATTTTTGTTTCCTTTGGTTTCCATAAGGTTTTTTTTTTTTAATTTTTATTTATTTATTTTAAAAAATTTATTGTTGGTTATTCATGTAATCCATAAGGTTTTGAACTTAATGGTTGTCTTTGGATACAAGCAATTTTCATATCTCCTACCTCCCTTATTTATAAACCTTTATTATTCATGGATAATATATTTTCTATATTTGTATCACATAGTAGGAGATGGTGTGGCATTGGCCTTAAGAACAATAGGTTTGGATTCACTTTGCCTGGTTTGAAGCCTGGCTCTGCTACTAATGAATTCTGGACTTTGAGCAACCTAGCCTCTATGAGGCTCAGTTTATTCATTTGTAAAATTGAAGAATCCTTGTTGGTAAGTTGGTTGTGGGCACTAAACAAAATAATGTATGTAAGCACCTAGTCTAGTACCATGTACAATCCAAGTACTTGGTTAATGAGCTGTATGCTGCGTGATAAAACTATAATCTCACAAAAGTCTATGCTGGTATATACTGTGGGGCATTGTGGCAGAGAATACAGAGCAATGGTTAAAAGCTCTGGCTGTGGAGTCCAAAGGGCACATGTTCAAATTGTAAATTCCTTATCAACTCTATGATATTAGGCAGGTTATTTGACCTTTCTGAAGCTTAATGTCCTCATCTGAATTCAGAAATGCTAGCAGTAACTCATTTGGGGTTGTTATGAGGATTGTGTATGACAAATTAGGGAAACCTCTTAGCATATTTGTGCAATCATTATCAACTATAATTAGCTTTAGCATTAACATTTTACAGTTATATGCTTGTTAAACAAAAAGAACATTCAAAGACTAATGATAGATTATCAAGTATGAATTTTTAATGACAATTTTTTTTGGGGGGGAAGCACCTAACACTATTTAAACTACTCCTTTTAAAAAGTTACCTTTGTCATTTTTCTTGATCTTGTTTTCTTTCTTTTTTCAATATTTATTTTCAGTTGTAGTTGGACACAATACCTTTATTTCACTTATTTTTTTATGTGGTGCTGAGGATCGAACTTAGGGTCTCGCATAAGTGAGGCAAGTGCTCTACCACTGAGCCACAATCCCAGCTCCTTGATCTTGTTTTCTTAAATTGTATTCCTAATTGAGATAGTGGGCTTCCTCATCACATTCCCTSTAATGCAGAAAGGAAGGTGAATCAGGTAATGCTGGACAGATGTTTGTTTCGTTGTTTTGTTTTTCTTTTAAGGTTTAAGAAAGCATTTCTTTTGTACACCTAGAAAATACATATTAATATGTACATACATATGGTTCTATATAGCAGACAACCATATTTGAATATATGAAGCTTGTCTTTTGATAAAAGACAAGCAGATTTTTAAAACATGCCAATGATGTTTTATTTAAAAATCATATTTACCTTTGTATTTAGTTATCTACCTTTGGCAACATATTACTGTAAATTTTGTAGCTAAAACCCAACATTTATTATCACCCAGCATCTATGGGTCAGAAATTTGGCAGTGGGTCTCATGAAGTTCTAGCCAAGGGATCAGCCATTGACCATAGTCATATGAAGGCTTGATTGGGGATGGAGGATTAGCTTTCAAGATGGTTCTGGGCAGAAGGCCTCATTTCTGTACAAGTTGTTGGAAATTCCCATGGGCCTCTTTCAGTGTTATGATGTCATGGCAAACTGGTCTCATTAAGAAATGATCCAAGAGAAAGAGCAGGAAGAAGCTTCAAGGACTTTTATAACCTAGTCTTAGAAATCAGAAGCCATCCTTTCTGAGTGACTAAATCCAGCCTACCCTTCAAGAATGGAAGGAGTAGCAAAGAATTTTTGAACTTTAAAAAAATTTGCTGTCATTATTTTAAATAATGCTGAATTTTATTTTATATTTACTCAGTGCCCTCTCTGTGGGTGTATCCACTGTCCTCAGTGGATAGATGTAATGCTACAAATAAAACACTTTACACTGATTTCAAGTGTGCCCGTGTATTTATGGGATAAATTTCTATAAATGAAATAACTGGATTATAGGTGTGAGTAATTTTAAGTTTTTGCCTAGACTTCATTGAGCAGATGATGTTTATTGTTTGACCAGAAATGCATGGGTGTTTTTTCATAGTGTCAAACATAGTATGTATAAACATTTGGAAAATTTTAAGATATTAGTGTAATGAACAATTTGCCATCTCACAACTATTAGCACTCACCAAAGAGAGAGACCGAGAGATAATCTCTTGGATGGGCATTTTGATAACTCCTTTCCTTGTCAGTGATAATAAGGTTACTCTTTGCCTTATTAATTAATTTAGTTTTATCAAGTGTGGAAGACCATTAATCTTTATGGAATTTTGCAAGCAAGATCAATATTGTGAAATTTCTTATAAAGCCTTTGAGAATGTGAGGTAATGGAAACAGTCTAGGTAAGAAAGACTAGAGTTGGGGCAATTTATTTTAGAAAACAGAAGACAATCTTTACTATAGAGAAGGGTAGCCTTCAGCTCCATTTCCTAAACTAACAGTGAATTACATTGACTAACAGCAATTTCTTATTAATTTATGAGAAGCAAATCCTTTTGTCATTGAATCTGTGGGCAAAAAAAACTGAAGAAGACTGCTTCTTCCTGAGAAGAATATGGGAGGACACATTGATAGACTGGAGATGAAATAGAAAACGAACAGTGTCTAAGTTAGGGGGTCATAAATTAATTCCTGAGAGGAGAAGGAAGGGCAAGTTCTTCTTGAATAAAGGAATGTGTCTTGTAAATCTATTCAACCTGGGGAAGGAGTGGTGGGTGGGTAGGGAAGAAAGTAGGCCTTGAGTAAGCAAGATTGCTGCTCATGGATCTTCTTCCTAGCTCTGTGCACCTGAATGTCAGGTAAAGTATCAGCCACCTAACACGTGGGGCCATAAAGCATATAGCAGATAAGGAGATCATATCAGAACAAGTTGATAAGGACAGTGATGAACTGAATACATCCCCCACTCCTCTGTGTACTCCACCCCCCACTCCTCTGTGTACTCCATTGAGTAGCATGAGAATCGAGCTCTCCTGATAATCACTTTCCAAAGCCTCTGCCTCTTAATACTCTCACACTGGGCATTAGGTACCATATGCATTTGGAAGGAAATATCTATTCAGCTCATGGAAACAATTAAATGTTTTTATATTTTATATTTTTCTTGGAAAGTGAAAATCCTCCAAGATTCCTTAGAGGACCTTAAGAGGCAACTCGTGGTTAAGATGATACATAAAGTGTTTGCAGTTCTAAAATTCTGGGTTAATCTCATCAGTTCTCATCTAAGCTATGGTTTCTAAATGCTCTTTCCACTAAAAGGGACCATGACTCTTTACAGATGTTTAATTTCAGATTGGTGGGCTGGAAATGTACAAGATGAGCCTAGGTGATTGTGTTGTGCAGAAAGGAAGAAAACTAGCAAAGACTCTTAGCGTTATACCAACAGGGTTTAGGACCGACTTAAAGAGGCTGCTGCTGGACAAAGCTGTAAGATATTAGGATTAATATTATCAGTGGATTAATGCAGATCAAATATGTTTAAATTCATGGTTTCGTGAGGATGCTTAAAAACAAGTCATTGTTCCCCTTTACAAGATGTTAGGAAAACAACTCCTTATTTTGAAAACCAGTAAATGAAGAATTCAACATGCTACCAGTCCCTTGTGAACTGCATCTTTATTACCAAATTATAGGGAAAATTTTGTTTATTGAAATATTCTAACAAATAAAGAATGAAAGAATTGCAGCATCTTTATGAACTGAATAATAGGTAGACTTCTATTTATAGAAATATTTTATCTAATAAGAAAAGAAAGAATGAAAGAATTACAGCATCACAGGGAAAAACATCATCAAAAGAGAATCATCACTAGATTTTTTTTGTCTCCTGCTAGAAGATGCTATATCATCTATGTACCATTGCTACTAAACAATCAAACCTGAATCTRATCAAAACTTTATATCTAAAAGAGCAGAGAAACACATTAGCATTAATGCAGATGCAATTAAAAATCCCAGATTGTGGGGAAAAACTACAGAACAAACCTTATTGTCTAAAAATGACCGAGACATAAACCAATTGCAATGTATAAATCTTAACTTGTATCCTTATGAGGATAAAAGGAGCAGACTTTAACAGTTTATCAGACAATGAGGTGAATTTCAAAATTGACTATATATTTGAAGACATTAAGGAATTCTTGCAAAATATTGCAAAAACATTTTAGGTGTGATCATAGTATTTTACTTGTCTTATAAAAGTTCTTATCTTTTAAACATTAAAATATTTTCAGATAAAATTTCTGAAATCTAGGATTTTCTTCAAAATAATCTAGAATTAGGGAGGCAAGTAAGTAGGAATAAAGACAAAATGAGATTGATTATGAATTGATGATTTTWAAAATTCAGTTGATGGGTACTTGGAGTTTTGTTATATTATTCATTATATAAATTTGAGCTTTTCCATTAACAAACTGCTAGGTATGTATACAAATATAAATTTGTTAAATCTAAAATTATAAATTTATAAATTACATGATAAAATTATAATTATAAAATTACTAAATCTAAAATTATTTTCATTCCTTTTATAGATGGCAAGAAATAAATTGAAAAAATTCACTACTTTGGAGATTATCCTTAGTGTCCTTCTGCTCGCAGTGTTCATCATCGCTGTTGTTTTAATTGTGCTTTTAGCAACAGGTTCTACAGAATCAAAAGGTAACAAGTAACTCTGGGATTTCCCTCCATTTATTTTCTCTTATCAAAGTAAAACCATCATCAATGGTAGGGAAGCAATGCGTTTGTATTCATTGGTGTGAGAGTGTGTGTGTATATGTACATGTGTGCAGGTGTGGTATGTGTTTGGGGGAACATCTAGCTAATACTGTGGAAGCTCAGTAGCTTTTCCTTACAGGCTTAAGTTCTGAAACCTTAATTTCCCAATTTAATTAGTGCACTGGGTTAAATTTCACAACTGACACTTAAAATATATTTGCTGAATTTTTTTGAAGAATTCTGATTCTGTTAGTGATAGTGAATAATATACTGTGTGAAAGGGGGTCAAATAAGTATGTAATCAAAATATTTTATGCCTGTTTGRTTCCTTAAAAAATCCTGCCCAAGTCATCTTAATAAAAGTTCATTACATTGTTATATCCCCAAAGATGGTCTGGATTGTGCTGAACTATCCAGGATTTCCCATCTTGTTTATCTAGGAGCAACTTCTTAGGGCAACCAAGCAATGAAGGTCAACCCATGGCTAGAGTTTGTTTAATTCTATGAATCTGAAAGTGTAACTAAAACCCTTATGCCGAAATTGGTTCAAATATGGAGTTCATTTAATCCACCACATTTGAATTGGAAATCCTAGTGAAAAGAAAACAATGAAAAACAGCATTGTTATGTCTTAATGTCATTATTAATTTATTGCAGATTGCCTCAAAGAAAGCTAATTTCTTTATTTTAGAATGCAATAAAAGTGTCTTTTCTATTACCTATCTTTAAATCTGAGATCAAAGGTTTCAGCTCTGGCACAGGTTCTAACTACCAGTTTCTAGATTGGTGGGTTCCCCTTACATTTTTTTTTCCCATATGATACTTTGTATTTACAGGAGACTGGCATTGCTCAGATGTGTTCTCTAAATTGAGGTGGATGATTATTATGGAACTGTACATGTTCAGTGTGTACCAGCTCCTGGGGATAGGAATAAAGGACCAGAGCAGACTTTCCTGTGAAGGACCAGATAGTAAATATTTTAGATTTTGTTGGCCATGCCATCTCCTGTCATTATTACTCAGTGCTGCCATTGTAGCCTAAAAGCAGCTATAAACAAATGAGTGTGACAGTTTCAGCAATACTTCATTCAAAAAACAGACTTTAACCTGATTTGGTTTGCAGGCTATAGTTTGCCGACCCTTAGACTAAAGGGAAGTTGGTTCCTACTTTTATGAACTTCAGATCTAATGGTGTAGTTCTTTGTTTAGCATATACTCTCTTGTAGGGGAGGGGCAGAAGGGTAGAAGAAGATGATGCCATCATAGTAGAGGTAAATACAGTCAGCAAGAACGAAGGAAAGTTTTATAAAGTGAAAATGCATAACTGTTGAGGATACCACAGWAAGTCCAGTCAGTAGTGGAATGAATACAATTGCAAGTATTGGGAACAGCGAGGCCTTTGAATGCTTGAATGTTTGTGATACTGCTATGTCTGTGTGATGGTCATTTTATGTTTGCTTTTGGTATAGCCCCAGATCCTGGGACCACAAGTATCACCCCTAATTCTACTGAATGCCCAGTGGTAACTGAATGCCCAGTGGTAACTGAATCTGAACGGATAAACTGCATCCCTGACCAGCCACCAACAAAGGTTTGACTCTTGAATTTTTAAATTTAAGAATATATATAGCACTGAACACTGAATGTTTTTTTTTTTTAACTTTTTGTGGCTTGACTCAGAGTCTCAGGTATATTAACTCTATATTCGTGTTTGTGTGACTTTGTAGCTTCAGGAGAGGAAAAGCTGGAAAATTCCCTTGGATTGCCAGATTCAAATAAATGTACATGTTGCTCAGTTAAATTTGAATTTCAGAGAAACAACAAATAAGATTTTAGTATAAGAATGTCACTTGTAAGATTTGAAACTTACTAGAAATACATTTACATTTCATCTGGCAAGAGTACTGATGATTAGTTCTCTTTGATTCCGTCACTGCATTTGTTCTTGCCCTCTATTTCCCTTCTTTCTGAATTCCAAAGTGTTATCTAGAGTCTATAATAAAAGTCATACACTTACATTAAACATGATTTAAAATAAGGACAAAGTTTCAAGAGCTATGCTTTGGAAGGATGAAGGCAATTAATACAAGGGCAAAGATGATGGAGCACGTGGGCATTTATGTTAGTATTTCTTGATCACTGACTGAAGGGCACCTGATTATCAYAATAAACTTGGCACACTCCCTGTCAGTTACTTTTTACTTTGAGAATAAAAGTGATATCTGAATGAAAACCAAGTGCAGCCTTTTGAATGAAGTCCACTGATAAGATGTGTCAGATGTGTATCAGATACAGGATGGATCTGTGCGGCACTCCCACACTCATCTCCGTAGCCATCCCATTCTTAGTGGACTGCAGTAATCTGTGAAGTTCTAGGGAGTTGCTTTTTTGGTTTCTCTAAGGGGCTTTTATATTAAAAGATATTTTTTCTTTCCTATTAGAGGATAAACCTCCACTAGTGGATCAATCTTCTTGGAGGAATGGGGTGAGGTAGAGGGGGGTATGATATGAGAGGTAAACACATCAAAATAGTCATTTATCTYAGGTAAAGGTAAGTGAGTGAAGGCAGTGAGGAATGAGACCCCAGTCAAAAATCACGATACTCCCCCCCCCATATTTAAACACTTGGTGTTTTGAAGCCTACCTTCTTCTTCATTTTTTTTGAATTCTTGTAGTTGTAGTGGACAGCATGTCTTTATTTTATTTGTTTATTTTTATGTGGTGCTGAGGATTGAACCCAATGTCTCACASGTGCTTGGCAAGCGCTCATTTGTGTGTATGTGTATGTGTGTGTGTGTGTGTGTGAATGCACTCCAGGGGTCCTTTTCATGTGTCTCAGAAGAAAAGCTCATCCAGTTATCTAGATCTAGTCCTGATCTTTAGCTCTGGGCTGGCAGCTGGTTAGAGGGCATTATCACCGGACACCTTCCTATCACACCTGAATTCATTATTTGGTTTTCCTTCTCTACTGTAAGGGTTCTGTTAGTAGTTCTGTTATGCTTCTGGTCTTTGAGTCAGAATCAACAGAACTTTTGCTTAGCTCTTCCCTTCAATAGCTAACTGGTGTTAGGAAAAGCAGTGAGCTATAAAATCCCACAAATAGACTTATGTTATCCCTGTGACCAGTATTTCAAAACAGCCCTTCAATAATATTTTCCAGAATAATTACTTCATTTTCATTCCCAACACATTATTAGATCATCGTATTCCAGTAGCCTCCTAGCATCTCTCTGAATTCCATTTCATTTATTCCATTTTGATTAAACATGATTAAAACTGTTCTCTTTAACATTCTACTTTGATTGTATTTCTACCCMAAACTCCTATTCTTATAGAAGCTCATTCTGCATACTGGGTCAAGTTCAAATACTTTGTTTTGTCATCTAAAGTTCTCTTTAGCCCTTTCTAGGCCTCTATAACTTCACTTAGAGCACACACCCATGACAATTTTAGACACTGAAATGTCAAAATGCTGAAAGCATTTTGCATTTAAGCATTTTCCRTAGACAACAATGGTAATATTTATTACCATGATATTTGAGAGGTAAGGTTAACATATTTTCCTGCTCAGAAACTTTATTATCTTTTTGTAGTAAACACTTTCTAGCTACTTATCAATTATTTAATTGGCTTATAGTTTCTTTTTCCCCATTCCAGTTTCTTATCAATGTATTTAAAGGATTCAGTTTTATGATATACTAGTAAAAATGTTGCATTTTGCCAAGATCATTACGAGTCTCCACCCTTAAAATTACTTTGTGTTTACACATCATCAGTTAAGAGCCATTAACTGGTGCTAGGAAAAGCAGTGAGCTATAAAATCCCACAAATAGACTTATGTTTATGATTTGCTAGTTGTTGCTAGTGTAGACATTGAGTAAGAGCATGGTAGAAAAACCCGAGTACCAGGTTTTTATCTTGGCTTTGCTGCTGAAATGTCTATGACTTGATTCCTATCACATTTCCTTGCATACTGTCAAATCTGTATCAGTGATTGAGACAATGTATGGTCAGATAAATTTGTTCATTAAGAAAATGACTACTAAACACTGTACTGAATTCTGTGATTGAAAAGATTTTAGAATTTAGTGATCTTTAAGGTCTTGGGAAGTGTTCTGGAGATTGATCATATTCCAATTTGGAACTTCAAAGTCTAAATCATGGAGAGGGCAGAGTGACATATTTGTTTAAGTCTTGCTGCATCCTCACAGGGAAGAAGGCAGGAGGGGTCCACCTGTATAAGGGCCCCTAATCCCATTCACAGGGGAGGAGCCCTGGAGGCCTTACCACTTCTTAGTGGCCCCACCTCTGAGTATCATTGCCTTGGCAACTCCTGCATTTTGGAGGGGACACATTCAAACCATAGCACCAGCTTCATGAAAATTGCTCTAAGTCCTCTGTTTCTTACAGAAGAGTCTCTCTCTCTCTCTCTCTCTTTTTTTTTAAACTACTGAGAAACAAACTACTCCACACTTAGTGACTTAAAAAAACAATCAATTGATTATGTCCCACAATTTTATAGGTCAGAGACTTGGCAGGTTTTGGCAGTGTGATTCTCATAAGAGGCATTGACTAGGATTACTTGGTTGTTTCAGTTGGTGGCTGATCTAGTTGGGATGTTTTCAAGATTTTATCCACACGGTTGGCACCTTGGCTATAAGGGGGACCACAGGCTCCTCTACCCTTTGACATAGTCTGAAATCTCTCTTGTTGGTCTCTCCAGCCTGGCAGTGAACTTCTTACATGATAGCTGAGGGCTACAAGGAAGGAGAGAGCTGCCAGCCTTCTTCAAGTGAAAGCCCAGAAGCAGTTTAGCATCATTTTTTCTGTACTAAGTTGATTAAATCAGTCATGGGCCAGCCCACATTTAATAAGAAGGGGTGCAGGTACCCCCTCTTGATGGGAAGAGAACTCGAAGCCATTTTTTTTTTTTTTGAGAGAGAGAGAGAGAGAGAGAGAGAGAGAGAGAGAGAGAATTTTAATACTTATTTTTTAGTTTTCGGCAGACACAACATCTTTGTTTTTGTATGTGGTGCTGAGGATCGAACCCAGGCTGCACGCATGCCAGGCGAGCGCGCTACCGCTTGAGCCACATCCCCAGCCCCTTGCAGCCATTTTATACAGCTACAGAGGAATGTTTATTTGGCTCAGAATAGGCATTAATAAGTGTAAAGATTGGTAAACTACTGAAAATACAGATCAGAGGGGGTGGAGTAGCAGAGGGTATGAAAATAAAGAAAACTCACGATAAAAGCAATATTGAAAGAGCTTTTCAAAGTGGAGTGGAGCCTTAAGGAAGCTGGACTTCCACAGGATTCTAGCTGTGATAAACTTCAGTCTCCTTCAGCCTTTGACTGTAGGCACAAAGATCAAGATAATCAGATAATTACATTGTGCCCAGCAACTCAATATGCATATCAAGAAATTATCAGGCTCCGGTTTTATGGACACTTTTACTCATATATATTCTTATTTTATTTTTTTATTTCATATATATATATATTCTTTTCTTAGTGTTCTGTCAATCACTTAACCCCTGTTCTGAACTCCAACAAAAAACACCCCCACACCAAGAGATTTTTACAGTTTTTTAATAAAATGATACTGCTTGCTCACATAAACTCCCACCTTTCCTGTCTTCCTCAAACACAGATTCATAGCTATCTGAACCTGTGCTTCCTGAACTGCAATTCCTAAAAGCCAAATTAAGGGCTGGGGACGTGGCTCAAGTGGTAGCAGGCATGTGTGCGGCCTGGGTTCGATCCTCAGCACCACATACAAACAAAGATGTTGTGTCCTCCGAAAACTAAAAAATAAATATTAAAAATTCTCTCTCTCTCTAAAAAAAAAAGCCAAATTAAGTTTTTATAGTTGTAAAGTTTCTGAGTTTGAATTAATAAGATCATGGTTTGAGAGTTCCAGAGTAAGATGTTTCTGCCACAAAGGGAAAGCTGTACATTTATCATCATTTCTCTATGCTATTATGTTGGAAGGTATTTTGGTGAAAATATGGTGTTTTTAGTCTGTCTTTTCATTTTATTAGCATGATTATTATAGTGTTTTTGGTAATCCAGTATATAGAAGGTTGGAAAATAAGTTGGGACTCACAGAAAAGGAAGGAGGTCAAGAAAATAGATAATTGTTTTTCTCACCTTGGCTCTATTAGCACTGAACTCCTTTGAAGTAATTATTAATAAATAACTTAAGATATCCAAGAAGGTAGAATTATAATCCAGGTTAAGAGATAAAATGGAACCAGCAAAGATGAACTCCCCTGTATTMCCCTGCTGTATCACTTTTCCCAGCTCCCTCTGCAGAGGTGACCACATTCCAAAGTTGAAATCCATCATGATTCCTTTGTACCATCACTATTTACAGATATACTTATAAGCAGTAGGTATAYTCAATTTCTAAACAAAAATGCATGCTTTGCAATCTTTTTCACTTAGCATTGTAAGATTTATCCAAATTGATATGTATCTCTTTAATTCATTTGTGCTCACTGTGAAACAGTGTATCAAAATCATCCTTTCTTTGGATAAAAGAAATTAGTTTTTCTCTAATATGTTATGGTTGCAACGATGCTGTTATGACTAGTTCTGTAAACAGTTTTACTTACATGTGTCTGATTTGGGGTATATTGCTTCAAGTGTACTAGATATTTTCAAATTAATCTCTAAAGTGACTATAATTTACCATCTTACTACAGTCTTTGCATCCCTAATAACATTGGAATTGACAGTCTTTTTAAACTTCGACACTTTAAGGTTATTATATAGTATCCCTTTGTGACCTTAGTGATAATTTTCCTGAATTCTAGCAAGGGTGAACATCTTTCAGTTATTTCTGTGAATTTCTTATTTGTTCTTAATTATGTATTGAAATGTTTATCTTTTTGATGTGTACAAGTTTTTTATCTGTTCATTCATATTTTTTCAAATTCTTAGTCTTATTTGTATTACACATGTTGCAAACATCTACTTTGATGATGTTTTGTTTTGATGAAGTGTTGTATTTTGAGAAAATGAAGCTCATTAGGCTTTGTGGTTTTGTGATTTGCTATCTATGTATTCTAGTGGGATTAAATGCCTACAGTTGAAAAGGAAGAAGTTTCAAATTTAAAAAGAAAATAAAGAATGCAATATAACAATAATTGACTTATTTGTTCTAAATTTGTCCTTCAAATTTTCTTAGATCTCTTCCTGGACAATGTTAAATCTCAAATAATGATGACTTGATGTCATCCTGTTCGGTCTTATATACTCTTTTCTTGTTGTCCCTTGTGTTGTTAGGACCTCTGGTGTATTTTTAAACTGCAAGCACTAATACATACGGGCCATGCAGGCTCCCCCCCCCAATTTGGAAAGGAATGCTTTTAAAATGTCACCATTTATTATGATAATTATTATAGGTTTTTTGTAGATTACCATTATCAAATGAATGAAGTGACTTTTTAATCCTAGTTTGCTAAGAATTTTATTGTGAATAGCTGATGAATTTAAAGGACTATATGACATACTTCATTTGATGATTTATGATGATGAATTACACAAGTTGGTTTGCTAATATTAAAGTTCTTTATTTCTGGTAGAAATTCTGTCATTATTTAATCTTGCTGATTTCTATTAATGTTGTGTATGCTTTTTTTTATTTAGGCTTTGCATTTATGAACATGGATTTTCTTTTCTGTCTACTTTTCATTTCTTTTGTGGTCCTGGGGACTTTGGGTATAAAATACTTGCTCCATTTATTTCCTCTCTCTTTTAAATGCCAAGGAGGGTTGATTGGATTTTTAACAGTGACTTCAGGATCTTTTTTCTCCCCATCTGATCTTTGTGTTGATGCAAGAGCCTGTATACCATCATGCAGAACCCTCAGTGGATAAAAATGTGCAAGTGCTGAAGTCCCTTATTTAAAATGGATATAATATGCAGATCCTCCTATATATTATAAATCATTTCTAGACTATTTACAATACCTAATACAGTGTAAATGTTATAGAAAGAATTGTTATACTGTATTGTTTAGGGAGTAATTATAAGAAAAAAAAGCCTACACATTTCAGACACAATTAAAAAATACTTTWAATCTGATATTTGTTAAATCCTTGGGTATGAAACCCATGGATATAGGGGGCTGACTATTATATAAAAAGTGAAATATCTATATTTTTGGTTTTCTTTGTCTATCAGTTACTGAGGGCAGTACCATAAAAATATTCTATTATGTGCTATCTCCCCCAGTTTTACCTTATGAGTTTGAAATATTTTTCTATATATTTTTTGAATTTTTTATTGTTAGTACATATCAAATTTGAGGTGTGAGATGATCCTGGTGGATTGAAATCATGCCATGACTCTGTCTCCCTAACAATGAATATTTACTTAATATCTATCTGCTATTAATGCTGATTTGTTACTTAGCATGCTTTTTATATGTGTGATCCCCTTTTACTTCCAGTGCTTTTTCAAACCTAAGTTTTGGATATAGCACCTATAAAAAACTTTTATCTGAATTTAGTTATTTAAATGTAATCTGATTATCTTTGTTTTAAAAGTATTTAAACCATGTGATAATTGACATGGCTTTCCCTCTTAGGTTTTGTGCTTTCCATTTGGTCTTTTTTTTTTTTATGTCCTACTTCCTGCCCTGGAGTCYTCAAAAGCAGGTGTTTTCTTTCCTTATTGTCTAAACAGAGGATTTCTGCCCCCATCCTCATTTCCTCCTCAGTACTGTATTGGTAGTTACACATTCTAGATTGTTTTGGCAGTACCTGTTAAATTTTAATTCTCATACCCAACTAAAGGGGCATTTTATATCTTGAGTCTAATTTGCATTCATCTTATTCATGTCATCATTCTCACAGCTTCCCTCTAAAACCATTTTCCTAGGTTTTACAAGTCATATGGATATTGCTGTGCTTCTCCTGCTTCCCCTAATTGCTGTGTTTAACGGCAGGAGCTGGTGTTTTTGAGTTGGCCAAGAGAGGCTGTTTACTCTCCTTGCTGCTTTGACCACTTTGCTCTTTGCCCTTTTCAGYTCAATGAAAAAGTATTAAGCTCTGGGGAGTGTGCACTACTTAACACTACTCTCAGTGTCCTTCTCTTTTTCTGTATAATGACTTTGCATCTAAGTGAGCTTTGAAAGGAAGGAACAAAATCTAGTTCATAGTGAAAACTGATCTTACAGCAAGATAAGTCACAAACAGACATCATTTTTTGACCCTTAATACAAATTGAACATCCCTAATGCAGAAATCTAAAAACCCAAAATGCTCCAAAATCAATTTTTTTTTTGAGCTCCAACATGATACCACAAGTGAAAAATTCTACATTATGGAGCCTTGTTTCCTGCACAAAATTATTTTAAAAAATGTATAAAACTATCTTCAGGCTATGTATATTGTAAGGTATACATAAAAAATGAATGAATTTTGTGTTTAGACTTGGATTCCATCCTGAAAATATGTCATTATGTGTATGCAAATATTCCAAAATTTGAAAATCTGAAATTCAAACCATTTCTGGTCCCAAGCATTTCAGATAAGGGATACACAACCTGAAATTGCTATTAATGTAAAAGTTAGTGTTTGATTAAACATAATTGCTCAAATAGCTCAACATAACTGTTTTTTTTTTCCTTATCATTTTTAAAACATTGCTGTATCCTCCTAAAGGTGTGTGTAGTGGTATTCAACCCAGAATTCAGAAAGAAAAAGGAAAAGGACAGGGAGAAATTTAGTTTTGGTTTTGTCTTCTCAATGGCCAAGTACCTTCTGGTAGGTTATTTCATATCTGTGAACCTTTACCCTCTGGGCCTTGGGATCTTGATCTGTAAATGATGTGGTAGAATGTACGAGTTAGCTACTATTGTGTAATAAATTATGCCCAAACTTAATGACTTAACATAATAAGCCTGATTTTCTTGTAGTTTCTGTAATTGAAAATCTAGGTTTGGTTTAGCCAGGTGCCTCTGTCTCTGAGTCTCTTAGAAGACTGCAATCAAGGACTCTTCTGGAATTATGATGATCTTTGACAAGGTTGCTCATGTGATTATTGTCAAGAGCTAGCTTCTTGGGGGTTGTTGAACTGAGAACCTCAGTTCTTTGCCATGTGGGCCTTTTTTATTATATGATGACTTCTTCCAGAGTTGAGTATTCCAACAAAGAAAGTGAAAGGGAGAAAACAAGACTGAAGTCATAATCTTTCTGTGATCTCTTCTATGAAGTGAATCCCATTATTTTCTATTAGCTCCAAGTCCCTAGATCATCCCACATAGAAGACTAGAGATTTCTATAATGTGCTTTTTTCCTTGTAGTTACATTTGTTTCTTTCCCAAAATTAGTTGGTGTGAGAAAGAGATTATATTCATTTTACTCTCCACTTGACTTAGTCATTAATAGTGGCATAAGGCAGGCACTTTTTTAAAGGAAGAATTAGGATATATTTGAGTGTTAGGAAAGATTACTTTCTGCCTTGGTAGGAGTCAAGAGACCATAGATATGTCACATGTGTGGAATGCACACAAATATGCAACATATATATTTAGAAGTCAATGCAAAGTTTGTTTGATTGAAGTTTTCTGAGTAAAATTCATTGCAGAGTATTTTTGATTTTAAAAGTCAAAGCTAATATCAATGAAGTGTTGTTTGTAATTTTAGATTACTGGTGATAAAACAATATTATACTTTAGAATTTTAAAAATATTTATCAATTTTATTGTGATGAAAGACATGGAATGCATTGTACTTCCTATACTCTTTCACAAGGAAAAATTCCTTGTGAATAGAAGCCACTGGGGATATAACATACATAATTTCTCTAATGATTAGTTTCCTTATTTGTAAAATGAATTTATTGATGTCCTAACCCCAAATTAGGTGTTTTATAGTTTCTGAAATATAGTGTTCTACAACTAAATGGAGTTGTTTTGACTCATCTCTTGTTTCAGGCTACATGTGACGGGCGTGGCTGCTGTTGGGAAGCTCAGGGAGCCATAGGTATTCCTTGGTGCTACTATTCAAAGAATCATGGCTACCAAGTGCAGGGGGATCCTGTAAACACAAATGCAGGTAAGAGGCAGCAGCTCCAGACCTTCTGGAGGCTGGCTTTGTATTTCCCAGAGGAGCCCTGTGGCAGCATACAGGGGACTGCTGTGTTGCCACACCATCACATGTGACAGAAGGTGGCACTGCTCTTTTCAAGAATTAGAACTTATTTTGACACCAAACAGCAATCACCCTCTGTCTTGTGAGTCAAGAAACCGTGTTCTATTCTAGCTTCACCTTTATGTACCTGTATGAACTTGTGTAATTGTCATAATCTTTTTGGTTCTCAAGTTTATCACTTTTAAAGTGGCAATTTTAACTCAGCTTTGAGATTAATTTCAACTCTAGTCTTATTTTTTTACAAAATGAAATGATTTACAGTTTTATAAATGTTACAAAAGTTTCCTAGTCAATGTCAGTGCTCATGGGCTGATCATGCCCTCATTCCTCCAAACCCTAAAATGAAGAGCATCACCGTGAACATTGTGGGGGTGACAGTGTGACTATTCTGGGCATGCTCCTAGCATGAAGGATAAGGCCTATTCCTCTTCTAGATGCTCTTGGTCTGATGGGCTTTTCTATAAKGTCTCAGCCCTCACCTGATTTTCTGTTCAATTAGGGAGATGACTTTAATGTACATGATCACCCATAATGGAATATGAAAATAACTGAGAAGGAATAATGAATATATACTGAAAAGTAAAGAGTATCTGATCAACACAGAATGAGTCTGCTAGAATAAGATTTAAACCTTTGGGGGGGTTTCAATCATAGTTTGTAGAAGAGAGGCATAGGTTTTTGTATAAGTTAATCATAGTTCTTAACTTTGGGATCTGACCTAAGATAGTACGTATGTATGAATACCTTTGCCTTTTTTCTTCTTTGGCAAATAAAACATTTTAATCAGTCCCTTACCTTAAGCTTAATTTTTATTTGGCTGTTATTTGCAAATGTATAATGTCAGCTATGAAAACCTTTTCTCTCCTACATGTTAGGATTCACAGCCCAGTTGAAAACTCTGCCTTCTTCATCCCCATTTGGAAATAATGTTGACAACGTTCTTCTCACAGCCGAATACCAGACATCCAACCGTTTCCATTTTAAGGTTATAGTTTGTTTTCTTTAAAAAAAAATCTTTAAGAGGCTTTTTCCCCCACCTTATGACTATAGTTTTGACTAGGTAGAAAATTTTGCCAATGTAGGTACTTTTCTCTGTTGTCATTATTATTTCCTACTTGTATATTGAAGTCATCTATAGTCTTCCTTCTATGTGATARTTTCCTAAATAAATATTACAGAGTTCATTGGTGCACTTTTGACTTTCATTTATTTGCCCTAGATACCATGCGAAATGTAGTAGCCAAAATCAAACCAAAACAAAATAAGAAAAAAGAATCAGAATTATCACAGCTTTGAATTTTCTAGGGATGAGCCATCTCTGCAGACTTGCAGTATACAAGCCTAACTCATGCTCAATAGTTAATCATTTGAAGCTGGAAATGTAATGAATACATTCTTAGGCAAAATGCCAGTTCCTGGGAAGCATCGGTGTTGGTAGGGATAATTATATTTTGGAAAATCAGAAAGGTTTTGATTTTGGCTTTATTTCTATTCATCTCTCTGTATAGTTGACTGACCAAACCAAGGACAGGTATGAAGTGCCCCATGAACATGTACAACCCTTTAATGGAAATGCTGCTGCTTCCTTGAACTATGAAGTTGAGGTCTCTAAACAGCCATTTAGCATCAAAGTGACCAGAAGAAGCAACAATCGTGTTCTGTAAGTTTTGAACACCTATCTAGGGAAGATGATGAAGGGAGGGGTGTGGGCTAGGGGAAGGTGCATTTCAATAATATTCTTGAAGGTTGTGAGCCCACAATTGTGAATGGACTCTGCCTCCAAATGTATATATATTTTCTCCCTTCTAAGCACTTTTTCCCCCTCTGCATTTTTCCCTTTCTTTCCTGATCTATCTAACCATCTGCCCACCGGTAAATATTTACTAATCTGTGATCATAAAATATAGTGTTCTGGTCATGAGATTGGCTATCTGGGGGGCAAATATGAGAAGTGTGCCACATTGTAACTGCCCTAAAGGAGTCTAGATGTCTTAGCGTCCATGGTAAAACATCACATGGGGCAAATGGGACTGATTAAATAGAGATATAAAAACCACTTTTTTAGCAGTTATGTTCTCTCCACTGCACTTACCCAGCCCATTACCGTGTTTTCCACCTGTGTCTAGGTTTGACTCAAGCATCGGGCCCCTCCTGTTTGCGGATCAGTTCCTGCAGCTCTCCATCCGCCTGCCTAGTGCTAATGTGTATGGTCTGGGAGAACATGTACACCAACAATACCGGCATGACATGAATTGGAAGACCTGGCCCATATTTACCAGGGACACAACCCCCAATAAGGTAAGCTTTCAGGATGGGCTCTTTTCATTGAGTATTGTAGCCTCATACTTGAAGGTCACTTCTAGAAGTACAGTATAGTAGTGAGGTGTAAGATTCTGGGCTTGAATTCTGGCTCTGGTACTTACTATTATGTGGTTCTGGGCAAGTTATTTATTTCTCTGTGTCTTCAGTTCCTCATCTGTAAAATGAAGGTAATGTATTTATCTCATAGGGTTGTCATGAGGATTAAATGAATCAAAACATATAAAGTAGCTAGAAGAATGTCTGTCCCAGAGGAAGGGCTCAGTAACTGCCAGCTACTTTACATTATATTTTTCCCTTTGAATTAACCAGTTGGGGACAAAATGTCATTAAAAGCTGTAGTCTGAATAATAGTTGATTATGATGTGCCAAATTTTAGGCTGACCTTTAAAAAATCACTGACTTACCACCCTTGTCAGAAAAATAGGATAAAGTCCCAGCCAAAGCAATGTATCAATTATTTTTTTTTGTGAAAAGAATAATTGGCATAGGGGTCAAATCATTAATTGTTGCTACTATTTTTAAATTTTATTTTCATTTGTTTGTTTTTTTTTTTGATTGTTAAAACTTGAGGCAGCATTGTTTTCTCAACTTAGAAATACTCTATGGTTCAGGACTTGGCTGAGTAAACAGAACTTTGTTAGGGTATGAACTAAGAAGCCTGGATGAAAGGAGATCCCAGCAGTAATTTATTAAGCAGTTATTTTATATATTATTTATATATATATATCAAAATAATTCAGAAAATAACAATAATTTACTTATTTAACAGACAAAAATGAGATTCAGAGAAGCCAGTTCAATAGCCAAAGTAAAACAATTTGCACTTAATAGATAAAGAATCTAGTCTGTACTATGTTTCACCTAAAATTCATGCTCATGGCTACCAAATGCCCATCAGAAAAGCAGAAAGGAGTGGCGTCAGGACAGCTGGTGATGATCACTTATTATGGAGCCTTAGATCTTTGCCACTCAAAGAGTGAAGCACAGGCAGCACCACGTGAGAGATGTGGGCTCTCAGTCCCTCTAGTGAATTAGAATCCCTTTGTAACTAAGGTGCCTGTGTAAGTCATATGTCCACCAAACTTTAAGAAACACTGTTCTAGAGCAATGATTCTTATAATTGACTACACATGGCAACCATCTGGGGAAATTAAAAAGTATAGAAATGTCTACTTCCATCCTAGGGTTTCCCTAGGGAGTCTGGCTTGATACCTCCTCTTCTGGAATCTAGAAAACTAGTCTAGATTAGAGCTCCATCTAGTTGCTGATTCATATGAAGACTTGTAGGACTTTTGCAGATGAGGTTAAGTCAGGTCAAGGTAAGCTTCTTTGAAAGGAGAGTTGTTTGGAATGATGGCTTTAGAATTCTTTCACCTAACAGGTAATCACAACCAGCACATACTTATTAAATGAGTGCTCATAGCTGGCTCATTGCATAAGAAAACTAGTTCACCTGATAAACATCAACCAAATAGAGATCCTATATTTTAGAATTTATTTGCATCTTCATTAGCCATGAGTGTCCTCACGTGATTATGACTGATTTTTCTAAGCTAATCCAGCAATGTGATGTTTAGACTACTTGGTAGTAAATTTTGGATTTTAATTCTCTTTCTGCAGGATGGAAATAACTTGTATGGTGCTCAGACATTTTTCCTGTGCCTTGAAGATGCTAGTGGATTATCCTTTGGGGTGTTTCTGATGAACAGCAATGCCATGGGTAAAGGACTAAAGGGATAGTCATGAAAAAGCAAACATACAGAGGAACAGTTTTTAAGTCCTTTTCTTACAGCACTATGATAAAAGGAATGGGTCCCTTTAAGAGTGATTGATCTATTGCTTAGGGCCTTATGTTCTCTAGTTGTTCTGTCTTTATCTCATTGACCTATTGACCACATAGTAGCCATGTATAAGGGATTATTCTCCTAGCTTCTCACTTCCCTGAATCTGGTTGCCTCCAGTGAATTATTTTCTGTTATAGCGTTGAGATAGCTAAGGGTTCTGTTATAGAGTTGAGATAGCTAACCATTCCTTATAATTTTACTTTGAGACAATTTCTAAAAATTGGTTCTTCTTCCTCTTTAAATTTACATTCAGTAGACTCCAGTGGCAGCTCCAGTAGAATCACCGAAGGGTAAGAGGAGAGGTATCAGCATCTCCCAGGGTTGAAGATGGACATAGGATATTGATTTCTACCCTCTTCTTAATTGAGGACCATTGGATATATTAATGCTACTCAAAGTGTGGTCTGTGGATTGCTCACAAGCTGTTTCAGATCGTACAGTAAGATCAGTAAAGAAAATAATAGGAATACTGCTGTAGCATCCAAGTGCATGAATGAGCTTTTTTCATAATAATTCATTTTCATGTTCTTTTACAGAAGTATCAGTTTGCAGTGAAGTGAAAATTAAATTTTCAAAAAATATCTGATCCTTCACCACAGTTTGTTTGAGAAGCACTCTAAGTGATGTAAAATGATTCTAGAAAACCTGATAGCCTAAGAATAGATTGAAAGAACACAAGGACTCTGCAGTTTTAGGTAGTTGAAGGAATCAGAAAACAAACCAAGATCAGACTTAGTGAAGCCGTAAGATCCTAGGTATTCTGCCTTTGTTGTTCCTGCAACCAGAGTATGTCAGTAGAGCTTGAGGTCTTTTGTCCCTACATAGAAACCAAGGCAAAAAAGGCAGATTTCTAAGAATGGTGATAGGTGCTTAAAAGGATTTTGAATTTATGATGTAATCTGACTTTTTTCAGCTTGAATCTTGTTTGATATGAGATTCACTGAAGTTAGTACCTCAGTATGTCTAGCTGGGTTATATTATCATAAAGATGGAATATGGGTTAGTATAACATGTGGTTGTGAAATTCAGAAAGGGGAAATTTTCCTTCTACCCTCTTAGATTTAATTCTTAGATTTTAATTCCCAGATTTAATTCTGCTGAGACAGATCAGCAAGGAAGAGGCAGTTTATTTACAAGTGCTTGCATACAGGAGTGCTTAGTGAAGAGTAACTGAAAAGGATGTTTAGATCTTGGGGCTTATCTACCAACTTGTAAGGGAAGGGAAAAAAGATATTTATTCAGAAGTGAGTGACTGTTTGAAAGACAAATCTTGGGGGAAATCAATGGGAGATGTAATTGTTTTATGACAATGTCTATTGGTGCTTATTGTTTCAAAGAAAATTAGAGCTGCTCCTAGGAAGGGAATTTATGACAATTAAGTTCTTTTGGAGGTGATGCTTTTAGGGAGATCAGGAATCTCAGTAGCAAATATCTTCAGTCTCAAATAATTTTTATGCTCCAATGGCTTATTCTCTATGGTCAGGTAATGAATGATGCAGATTCATCATCCTCCATGCCTTGCTGATTAATATGCTTTACATATATATTTTAAGGAATAATTGAAGAAGGGTAGTCATTTCAGACCCCAAAGATTTAGACAAAAGGGAAGATATCCTGGATGCAGCCCTGAGTTATCTAGATTAGCATCCTTTTTTCATAGATAAGAAACTGAGGCTAAGCTAGGGGGGAATAGCTTAACCGAGACCTGGTTACTTTTTCATCAGAGCCTGGGTCTTAGCACAAGGAGGTAAGACACTAAGTCACCTCTTATTAAAGTCTATCAGGGAACAAAAGTTTTGACTCCCATGCCATGTGGAGGTGGACTTTCAGAAAAAGAGTATAGCCCTTTGTATGCAAAATGTGAGGCATTAGATCACTATAGTAATATTGAGATCCTTAGTTATCCTCATGTCTAAATTTTGAACAAATTCTAATTTTTATTTTTTTTTCTAATCATTTTAGAGGTCACCCTCCAGCCTGCCCCAGCAATCACTTACCGTACCATTGGGGGCATTCTTGACTTCTATGTGTTCCTGGGAAACACACCAGAGCAAGTTGTTCAAGAATATCTAGAGGTAAACTTATGATGCTGTGACTGTGACAGGAAGCCTACATTGCAAGTATTCAAGAAAAGTAAATTTAATATGCAAGTGTGACCATAGAAATCTACTATCATGAATTTGTAATAACAAAAAGCAGATTTCATTAAAGAACAAATTTGAGACTTTAAAGTTTATATGCAATGGAAACTTGGATTGYAGAATTTTTAGGTTATAAAAAGGAGAAAATATAAAGATGTCCAAAACATGGCCTGTCCCTTAATGATTTTTAAAGGGGGTAGAAAAATAGACTAATATGCTGACAGAAATTAAATTAGTGCATTGGAAAATGGGGTATGTTTTGTGCCTCAGAACTAATGCCTAGAGTCAGGTGGTCACTCACCTATAGTCCTAGATACTCAGGAGGCTGAAGCAGGAGGATTGCTTGAGACCAGGAGTTCAGGGCTAACCCGAGCAATGTAGTGTGACCCTATATCAGGAAACAAAGGAACAAACCAATGCTCTGACAAAATTTTATTACATAAGAATATTGTTAACCTACATCTTTCATATTTCATTCAGCTTATTGGACGGCCAGCTCTACCTTCATACTGGTCACTTGGATTCCACCTCAGCAGGTATGAGTATGGAACCCTAGAAAACATGAAAGAAGTCTGGAAGAGAAACCGGGCAGCACAACTCCCTTATGTAAGTGAGGTTTTAAGTGATTCTCCCCAAATCAAGAAATTCCCTGGAGGAATGAATAAGAACAGCTCTTCATACTTTCTCTCCCTGAAGTTTTAGGGTTTTTTTTTTGGTAATAAAAAGATTAATATATATTTAGAATACAAGACTTTTTGTTGGGCAACCAGTTTTACAAGGAGCCCTAGGGTTTTTTTTTGTTGTTGTTGTTTTTTTTTTTTTGAGTGGGAGGAGTACTTAGAGACTACCATTACGGGTTAGGAGTTTTATCAGAAAAATTTTCTCATACATATGAACTGACTACAGCTTACATGATGTGTTTTAATTTTAGTTCTTAAATTAATTCTCTCTCTATCTTGGGTTATAATATTTTAATACTTCTCAGTATAGATTTTTTTTTTTTAACTTTAGATATGTTCTTGCTTGGACTGTTTTGATTCAAAAGTGTCATGGCAGGGACTGACCATAAGAATGATATTGTGTCTTCAGAAGTTTCTCTAAGATTCTGGTATAAGCTTGATTCTTATCTCTATGGTCAGGTAATGAATGATGCAGATTCATCATCCTCCATGCCTTGCTGATTAATATGCTTTACATATATATTTTAAGGAAAAATTGAAGAAGGGTAATAATTTCARACCCCAATGATTTAGACAAAAGGGAAGATCTCCTGGATGCAGCCCTGAGTTATCTAGATTAGCATCTTTTTTCATAGATAAGAAACTGAGGTTAAGCTGGGGGTGGGAATAGCTTGAYGGAGATCACATAGCCAGATCAAGACACAACTGACACTACATATAAATATGATGGGTTTCTGCTCCATCTGTTTCTGCATTGGTATTCTGATTAATATTGAGTTGGCAGTAAGCAGAATTTGCCCTTCCATGTGATGTGGTCATTTTGTATTTGAAGCAGAGCTTCAAGAAATAGTTTTAAATTGAGTCTAAAAAAGTCCATAAATATGAAATATAAAAGAAAATGCTTGAAAGAGTTGAGATTCAAAAAGCCTATGACTGGGCCAAGCCGTGGCTCAGTGGTAGAGTGCTTGCCTGGCATGCGTGAGGCACTGGGTTTGGTCCCTGATACCACATAAAAATAAAAATAAAATAAAGGTATATATATATATATATATATATATA